CCTTCTCTGCAGTGGCACCCCAATTGTGGAATTTGCTTCCCAGAGAGGTTTGTCTGGTGCCATCACTTTATTCTTTTCAGTGCCAGGCCAAAACCTTTTTATTTTCCCAAAGTTTTAAGACTTGACTGTTTTAATTGGGGTTTTATCCTTAGTTGAATGTTTAGGATGCTGCATTTCATTTTTACATTTTGTATTGTTAAGCCATCCTGAGACTTTGGTAATGGGATGGTCTAGAAAAGTTTTAAATAGACAAACAAACAAACAAACAAACAAAGTCACCATGACCTCAACATGGAAAGTTTCACAACATGGAATGGTGAGTCTGCAGACAATAACTGACTGAAGAGGCCTGAATGAGCGTAATTTATTTGGTTTGGGCTCTGCATATTCCCTATCAAGTGATATTCATGGTTAACTCACAGCAAGTCACTTAACAGGGAAACTGGAAGCCAGCAAACCAACCAGAAGACCACCCACCATCTTTCCAACTGGCCCTTTGCCTTGGCCCCTAATAATGGAGTCTGGACCTACTTTTCCTCTGGTTCTGCTTCAGCCCCTATCTATGGATCAAACTAACCTGGTATAGATGTAGTTTGCAAGGGCAATGAATGGGGTCAGACTCAATGTTAAATTAGAGTTAAGCTGCATTCTTGCAGGTGTTGATTATTTCCCCCCATCCAAACTTGTTCTTTTGACAAGGTAATGTTTTTTGATCAACTGATATGAAAAATTGGTCCTCCCGTCTTCCCTGCCGCACTCTGTTTCTCAAAGTATGTATAATGAAAGCAGTTCTCTACCCTCTGACTCATGTGACTTCCATGGATCCCAATAGGGCACAACCGAGGAAGCCTCCCCAACAATGCCTTTCCCCAGGAGGAACCCTCCTCAACCACATGTCAAGAAGCCCCCCAGCTTTGGGGGGAAAGTGCAGTGCTGACTTGCATGGCTAAGTCCTCTTTTAAGGCTTACTTGGGATGGCAGTGCAAGTACAGATTGACATGACACAAACTTTCAGTCGAGTGGGTTTAGGGATGTCCCACAACAGGGGAATGCAGCTCACTTGACCTTGACAGATTTCTTGCCTGCTTCTGAACTGATGATCAGAAATGAGCTGAGCCAGGGGCATTTGGGTGTTCTGTCTCTAAGACAAACCGCAATTTGCACATTTTTTAAACCACTAGTTAAATTAGTGCAAACAAGCATCAGAAACCCATGTGGCTCTAGTGATTTCTGAAAACTTGGCCAATTTGCCCTAAGTGTAATTTATGTAAATTATCATTTTGCCCAATGCTGTGCAAACCATGCTAGAGTACTGTGGCTCTGGAGCTAACTTTTGAAAAGTTGTTAACTATTTTAAAAGATACAACGCATGCCCTGTCTTAGAAACACAAACTTGCACCAGCCTTCTAAGTACAGGAGTTGCAGAGTTCTTCCAGTTGTAGCCTGGAAGCTACAGGGAGGACCAAGGTAGCTCAGCAAAAGAGCATATGCTTTGCACGCAGAAGGATCCAGGTTCAATCTTCACTGGACAAGAAAAGCCTCTGCCTGAATCCCTGGAGAATCTCTGTCAGCCAGGATTGAGAATATCGGGCTAGATGAACCAATGGTGTGGGGGAGTACGGGGCAAGTTCTTCTGTAAAGTGTTCCCGTCTCCATCACCCACACTCCACAGTCATGTACATTATGCACTATTCAACAGCAGGCTTACATTCTCAAATACTGAAGTATCCTGCCCAGCCCCATTATAGTATCTCTATGTTGAGTTTCAAGGGCCTCTTCAAGGGTTTCCTGAAATTATTTTTGGCATGTAAAAAAGCACTTCCTCCATACTGATGTGGAAGGAAGGAAGGAAGGAAGGAAGGAAGGAAGGAAGGAAGGAAGGACTTGCTTCTCACATTTCAATGCAATGCATATTGTACTGAGCACAGGAGAATAAGATGACAGCTCTCCTCTCAGATATGGCAAGGTTCAATTTAAGGTACACCATACTTCAAGAAAATCAAGCAACTATGGAAACAGAATAGCCTCCAAGCTAACTTTCTTCTGCCTCTCATCTTTAGCTTTCAGCCTCCTCTAAATTGTGCTGACTGGAATGATTTAATGTGAATGACTGCTCTGGAATGAAAAGTAGCATTCACTTCTCCTTCCTTCCCTACCTCTTAAAGAGTGGCAAGGATTGTTAAGGAGCTATTTCGAACATAGACGACTTCAGGGTCATCCAGATTGCAAAAGGGAAAATTCAGCTCACAAGTTTTACACTGGTATTGGACCCAAATCAGAAAAGATTTTATTTATTACGTATTAGTGGGAATGCACTTGTCCCTGACTTCAGGTGCTTTGGCAATGAATTATGAACACAATATCATGATTGTATAACTATACAAGAGAAAATAGAAGAATGGCCCCTAGGAAAAATCTATCTCATCTTTTCCATTTCCCAGGAGATTCTTATGTCCTTTAAATCCGCCATTGCAAAATAGCTCAGACTACCTATCACATTCCACTGAAATTTAATGTCCTTCCCTCCATTTCCACTGTGAGACACATCATTTCATCATTGTATTTAAGGGAGGGAAATCACTAAATGTGGGCTCGTGAGACTGAGTTTTCAGTTTCCTTAAAATAACACTGGACTGAATTCAGGCTATATGACTCATGCTCTAGTCTAGTTCAAACCAATGGAACAAACTAGTCATGACTAACTTAAGCTTCACTGGGTTTAATGGGAGTAACATGTACTATCATTTCCAAACCATTCATTTTGCATAATTCATTTTGCATAACTTGCCTTGTTTTTGTCACAGTGAATAAAATTGGGGGAAGCAACATTTGGGGGCCCATAAGTACATTTTAGAAATGTGTTGAGTGCCACTACACTGTTGGAAGGTGCCATGGCCAATCACAGAACACAGAACACACCTGTCCTTTCTGTGTGTAGGTGGACAGATGTGAAAGCGCTTTGTGTGCACATGAGCGCTCTCTCACACACACACTGGCTGCTTCTCCTGCTCTCTGGCTGCTTTCTTGCCTATCTGTCTCTGGCTTCTACAGTGGTATCTCGGCGCACAAACACCTCAGTTCATGACCAAATCGGGTCTCAAACAGAAATTTAAGAAATTTTTTTACTCAGGTCACAAACTCCACATTGGGTGATGATCGCAATCGTGCTCGTCTCCCTCCCACCCCCAAGTGCACCTGCGATTGCGCCTGTCTTCCCCCTCGAGCATGCCCACAATCGCACCCATCTATGGCCACGATCACGCTTGTGCAGGGAAGACGGGCACGATCACGGTTGTGCTGGGGGGTGAGATGGCAGCCATGGCTGTGCTCAGGCGGGGTGGGGGGGGGTGAGATGGCCACAATCTTTGTTGTTCTTTGTCACTTTGCTTCAAATTTTTGTGATTTAAAAAAAATAGTTGCAGAACGGATTAATCTTATTCACATTGAACCTTATGGGGAAATTTGACTTGGCTCATGACCAATTTGGGTCATGACCAGAGTTGTGAAATGGATTAAGTTCGTGAGCCAGGCTACCACTGTACTGTCCTCTGTGAACTCTGGATTTTGTCTTGTTTTGCCCACCCCAGCTCTTTCCAGTTTCCAGCAGCTTTCCCTTTCTTTCCCTTTATCTCTCCCTCCCTCCTGCTTTTCCCTCACTTTTCCTCCTTTTCTCTAGCTTCTCTCTCAGCATCTCTCAGCATCTCTCATTTCCCTAAAGTGATATACTGCAGAAAACCAGTAGTGGTGGTCAAACAGTCCTTTGGGGAAACTTGCCTGCCGTTACTGTTCATTCCACTGAGGAATTCTGATTAACTTCCAAGGAACTGTGGTGTTCCCTGGATCATATCTGAAAAACACTGTAAAGGAGGATCTGTACTGATTCTCAGAGGTATGCTCTTCAGGAAAGGTATGCATATAAAATACATTGAAATATTCATTGAAATGCAGTTAGCTGCCAGATCAGTCAAAGCCATGGTATTCTCAGGTTTAATTCCCAGATTTCTATAAACCCTGTCCATATATTAATCGTATTGCATATGGATATCTGTGGGAGGAAACCCTTTGAATATATGCACAACATTCTGGCTCGAATGGATGCCTAGCCTTGCAACTGCTAGGCAATTCCTATTTATGGAATAAGTGGGTAGAATACATCCACAAATCAGTCTTCCCTTTGGCTGACATCTGAAGGAAATGCAGTGGTCAATAATGAATGACAAAGAAGGACTTGGAAATTGCCTTCCAGTTTTAAAAACGCACCCGTGCTTTTTAGATCTTTGTACTACTGCTGCCTGCTGTTGGTAGGTTTACCTTGGCTTTATTCTGTAGCTGCTTTAATTTCTTTGAGATTTTACATTGTCTTGATAGTATTGCATTTTTTATTATTTTAAACTTTGTTTTGTGGACTGCCAAAGAATTTCAGTAGCACGAAAATTAAGTAAGAAAGAAAGAAAAGAGTATGGTTTAAAATACCATTAATAAACCCCTATCAATCCAAATTGTATGAATAAACTCCTCCACAGGGAGAGTTCTAAGCTATCTTTTAACAATTTAACATAATCAGGAATGGTCAATAAAACTTAGAACAATTCCCACTGTTATGTTTGCCTTGATGATGGGTTGGGGCTTATCTATGAAATAAAAGATGTACATATTTGGCTGCATGTGTACCTATCTTTATCTTCAAATGCAATCTGCAAGGTTTGAATGATCTAATTCTATAGGTAATATCCTTGGTTTCAATTGCCATTCTGTCAGCTTGATTGGTAACCTAAAGGCACATTAGCATGTTTGGTCGATGTGTACCTTTAAATTCATACATACTAGATATGGATGCTTTACCCCAAATAAAAAGAGTTCACCATTTTCAGTATCTGGCTGCTTGGCCACGGCTTGTGCGGGGCTTTGGTATGCATGGCATTTTATGCCAAGAATATGCTGGCATTAATGTATATGCAGGTACTCAGAATGCAGGTAGACACTTGCTGTTTTATACTCACAGTAAGCAGGAGGCACTTGTTTTCTTTGATGGCTCCTATGCATCCCACAAAGCCAATGATCATTACAAAGGTCCCTGTGATGATGAGCAGGTTGGCAGCCGACAGGGATGGGAAGGAAGAAGAGAGAGTAGCAAAGTTCCCCTGGGTGACGGCTAGCCATATGCCAACTCCGAGGATCCCACAGCCTCCCAGCTAGGGAAAAAAAAACAAAAACAAGACAAACAAGAAAGCTTAGTTAACCTACCAAGAAAGCTACTGTCATAATCTCCATCACCTTTGCTGTAATCGTTATGAGAAACAGCAATATCCAGGAAATTCACAGTGCAGTTGTGATTATTCTTGCAATTATGTAAGTTTCTGTTCACTGAAATGGTACAGTGCATGTAACTTGGAAGAGTTATGCTGAGTACATTTAACACAACCAAAGTTAAATGAGTGTCTCTGATCCCTTAAGCCTTCATATGAAAGAGACAAGTGGGGAAGGAAGGAGCGGAAGGCATGGAACTGCTGTGATCTCCATTCCAGAGGCAAGAAATTGCAGTGATTTGGACCAGCCTCACAAAGAAAGCCTACCATACAGCAGGGATTGCAAATTAAACTCATGGATTTCAACACGGGGCCTTTGCTCGAATTGACATTTTTTGCTTGAAGGATATGCATGCACTGAGGGAAGCTAATGAAGTCTCTGTCTAGATGGAGACTAAAAAAAAAAAGATTGGCAGAATAATGTAGGCAGCTCAGATATTTGAAATGTGGAGTCAGTGTTAGCTGTAGCTCAGTTCCTTGCTACTGGCAATAAAATCCAGAGGCTGTCTGAGCCCTCTCGCTTCCACACAGCCATCATCCCCAAACTTCTCAGGGACTCCAATGGGAAGTCTATCTGTAAGGAACAGGGAGCATGTGCCCCTCTCAGCTTCCATCACACTCGCTGATGTCACTGTGATGGAAGGCACCATGCTGCTGCTACACTAACAGAGGTGCCTTTCAGGTAGGAAATGATGCTGTGACTACTCCCAATTTGGAGAGGGGAGGGTTTCAAGGGCTGAGAAAAATCAGGAGCAGATGAGGCCTGTGAGCCACTGGTTGGCGAGCTCTGACAGGTGCAAACTTCAACGGACAAGGCTGTAACAATGGCGGACATCCACTGGGTCCCATGATTCCTGCCTCCCAACACGAACGGTGAGGGGCAGAGAGAAAGCAGACACAAGGATTCCAAAATGCCGTGCACTGCCAAAGGCAAGCACTCTTTGGCTCTAGAACAATCCAGCATGAGGGGTGGGTAGGAAAACATGGAACCGATTCACAGCAGGAGTAGCAACATGTGCCCCTGTGACTGGACAGCCTCCAAACATTAGAACAATACAAAACAATCTTGAAAAGAATAAAAGCAAAAAACAGCTACAGCCATTGCTAACAACATCCAAGCACAGACAGAGACTAAACCCAGAGAGTTTCCTGAGCAGGAAACAGCCCTAAATATCACAGATTGTAGGCAGATGCCAGTCAGATCACAACAAGCCCATCTAAATGAGGTTGCCTTTGAAGAGTCTCCAGAACCTTTTCCTGGTCCAGCATGAGGCAGCAAACAGGTGCAATAACAGCATCAAGTTCACTTCTGGACACAATTCCAAATGCTAGTGGTTACCTTTGAAATTTTCAGTGGCTCATGCCCAGCTTAACTAACTTTCTACATATTTCTTTTCTTTTCTTTCTTTTCTTTTATTTAATGCTTTTAAAGTATTTATAACCCACAACTCATAAAAATTCAAGGTAGCACTAACAAAGTATCAACACAATACTTTGATAAAAATTAAATGAAGCAGACATAGTTAGAAATGTTAACATGCTGTTTCCAAAAGGCAAGCTTTTAATTCACATTTTGCCTTTATTGTTTGCTTATTTGTTGTTACTCCACCTTTCTTCCAAAGAACCCAAGCCCATATGCCGCTGCCGCCACCTCCTCCTCCTTTATCCTAACAACAACCCTGTGAGGCTGGTTAGACTGAGAGTCAGTGACTTGCCTAAAGTCATCCAGTGAGTTTCATGGCTGACTGGCAACTAGAAGACACTTCTTCTGAGACCCAGTACAACACTTTAACCACTGCAAGAGGCTGGCTATGCATGCACATGTACTTTTGAGAAGTTGCCGATCTCCCGCATACACCATGGGTACTATTAAATGTTAATCCTATTTAGAGTAGACCCATTGAAACAAGTGGAACTTCAGTTCAACAAACTTTGGAAACAGCCTGTTGGATACTGTCAAACTACAGAAAGAACGGAATGCCTGCAAAGAAAATACTAAGCATGTTTCATTTGGTTTTTCAACAGTGAAACAAAATATTGCAGTGTCACCTTCTTTTCTTCACGGTTTCAGATACCCCGTTCTAACCAGCCCAGTTTGCTTTCTCTACCCTACCCCTTTTTATCAGCCAATACACATTTTGTGCCCACTGAGCATGCTCATTCAGAGGGTCTGGGAAAGGGAGGCTGTTGCTTTTTCATGAACACACTAGTGCCCAATCACTAGTACAAAAAAATCCTCATTTCCCCTGTTGGATTCTATAGGCAGCTCCCACTTCTACCCCTGGGGACATTTAAAAAGTGCCTCCTCAGTTTGAGGCAGGAAATGTTTTAAGCAAAGGCTGAGAGCACACTCTCTACCATTTCCGTATCTATGCATCTAGTCCTTGCCCAGCGACTCATTTCCCATTGCCCTTCCAATTTGGTTTTCTGTTTTTTCCCCCTCCCTCAGCCATCTTTCCATGGTCTTTGGGTGACTGTGGAGTTGTCTCCCTCTTAAACCCCCACAGCAAACCATTTTGTCCTCCTGCAAGATTCAAGGTCACCCTGCATCCACTGAGAGCTCCCACGTGGTGTGTGGGTGCTGCCTTTCTGGATGCGTAACCATGAGGAGTACAGAAATGAATCTGAAGCAGGACGGATGACAAGGGAGGCACAAATACCGCGATGGGAAAATTGCCTCCTTGTTAGCCAAGTACCCACTGCAGGTATTTTTTTTCCTGGATACAGTATGGTTCCCCACCACATAAATGCGACAACATAAAAATTGCCAGGTTGGATGAGATCCATCTAGGTCAGCATTTTGTTGGCAACAGTGGCTCTCAGTTTCCCCCAAGCACTCAGAAAACATGATGTACCTCCATTCATTCTCCCTTGTCCAGAGTAAACATAGAAAGCTGTTTAATACTGGATCTTACTATTTGTGTACCTTGCTCAGTACTGTCTAAATCAGGGGCAGGCAACTTGTGGCCCTCCAGATATTCTGGCCCATGGTTCCAGTTGTCCATCACCACTGGATGTGTTGGCCAGGGCTGATGGGAGTAGTAGACCAAAACATCTGGAGAGCCACAATTCTGCAGGACTTCTGAAAGAACTATTTCCCAGGCCTACCAGGAGACTGAACCTGGGAGTGCTTCCATCTCTACCACTGAGCTTCAGCTCTTCCCTTGATTTGTGCACTCATCAGGAAGGTAAAGCTGCCCTTGATACTGATGACCATCAGCGTTGTGAAACTGAGGATCAGGGCCTTCTCAGTGGTGGTCTTTACTTAGGGGAATCCTTTACCTACAGAAAGATCCCTCTGAATCTCACTATGGAAAATACCACTTTATTTCTTTGGGAGTTTTCTCAGACTATTGGGCTATATGAGAATAATTGGTTTCCATCAGACGTGCTTTTTTTACTCTGAACATTTCACTCTGAATATTTTGGGTGATACCGAGGGCTGTAGCTGACATTGCTTTGAAGTAAACAAATCATAACTTTGCAATATAACTGGTAGGCATGGGGCCCCAAAACAGGATTAAGTCCCACCCTGGAAGAAATGCTTAAAATCCCCAACCAGATGGGATATATATCTGCCTATGCCACAGTGCCAACCATGAAATATAGATACTTGAAACTTGTCCTGCACACAAAGGGGGACAAGTTTGGGTGTGCACCTCAGTTATTTGCTTTTTACGTGTCCTTGTATTGGAAATCTGTAGTACCATTTTCAGTTACTCAGTGAAAGGCTTCCATGATCAGCACATTGCTTTGGGGTGAATCGAGCTTGAAGCCAGGCAAGTATAGTCCAGAGGGCAGAATTGCACAGCTGCCTCCACCCTCTGCTCTAAGACACAAATCCACCCACCTCCCACCGAGAGGGACAGACCACTCCCTGGGGGGGCTGCAAGGTGCAACATGGCAGGGACCACGCCAGGAGTGACTAGCATCCTTGGCCTGGGCACCAAGTGTGCAGTTTTGGCACACACATATCTTTGCTGGAAAGCTCCACTGTGTGCAGTATGAGCCCAGGCCCTCTTGGTTAGACCATAGTACTGCAAAAGGATATTTGACTGTCTGTCAGGATTAAGCATGTGAAACCTAGGCCTCTGAAATTCTGCAATCACACTAAGTAGACTTTAAGGGTGTGCACATCAAGCTTCTTAAAATGGACTAATTAGTGTTAATTGATTTAAATGTGTTTGCAGTGTAGTTGGATATTATGCTTGAAAGCTATGTGGTACCAAACTAAGGACTTTTCCAAGTTATGCAGAGCCAGCTACAGCAGCTAATGAGAAATAAAACAACAGGGAGCTTGGAGGAGCCACTGACAAGCAAAGGGAAAAAAGTTTGTTTTCACTGTTAACTGCTGCTTGCCTGTTTTGATTTTTTTCCCTCTTGACCTCTAAGGATCTGCGATTTATGGATAATTGTACTCAGATATTAATGTGGTGCTCCCTCCCTGCCACTCCACAGTTCCCCACCATTTCTTGTTTGTAGTCCCAAACAATTCACAGAAGAGTGATGAGAGATGATGACTCCTGACAGCTTTCAGAGCTTTGCTGCTGTGTGAAATAAAGCAAAAACAAAACTACTAACAGGGCTGGTTTTGATAGCTTTACTGTTTTGCAGAAAGCCCCCAAATTGTCACAGTGAAAGGAGACACTAATCACTGTAACAAAAGAGTGACGAGCGGGGGAGGGGGGCAACTGCAGAGATGGCATGATATATATTAGCAAATAAGTACCCCGGGCCTGTATTGATTTCGTAGGAAATGTGTGAAGTGGGTCCTGTTTATCAAAGATGACACCTTTGGCTAGCTTCCTGATGACAGCAGCATTTATCCCCTCTTGAATTAAAATGCAGCAGGTTCTGAATGCTGGTACTGAGCCACAGCTTTTGAC